GTGTGTGGTGGTGGTGGTGGTGGTGGTGGTGGTGGTGGTGGTGGTGGTGGTGGTGGTGGTGGTTGTGGTGGTGGTGGTGATGGTGGTGCTGGTGGTGGTGGTGCTGGTGGTGCTGGTGGTGGTGGTTGTGGTGGTGGTGGTGGTGGTGGTGGTGGTGGTGGTGGTGGTGGTGGTGGTGCGGCGCGGTGGTGGCGGGCGGATGGGCGCGCGAGAAAAAGGCCCGCGCTGGGGCGAGAACGCCATCCTGAACGACGGAGGCCAAGCACCGATCCGAAAAATGAGGCCCACGCTGCAGCGGGAGCACGATTCGGAACGATTCGGGAGCAGAAATGAGGCCGGCGCCTCAGCGAGAGCAGCATTTTGAAAAAAACACAAGCGAAAACCCGTTTCCCGGGGGAATCCTGTGTGTAAAAAAACAATACACGGGGGGGTGTCGGATATCTTCGGGACGCCATCAGGGGAAGTGGGACAGTATTTTCATATTGTGTAATTGTGAAGGAGGAGGAGGGGGGGGGGGAGGAAAAGGCGGAGAGGGAGGGGGGTTAGAAGAAGGAGGAGGAGAAAGAGGAGGATGGGCGAGAAAGAGGAGGAGGAGGAGGAGGAGGAGGAGGAGGAGGAGGAGGGAGAGGAGGGGGAGGAGGAACAGGAGGAGGAGGAGGGGGGGGAGGAAAAGGCGGAGAGGGAGGGGGGTTAGAAGAAGGAAGAGGAGAAAGAGGAGGATGGGCGAGAAAGAGGAGGAGGAGAAAGAGGAGGGGGAGGAGGAGGAGGAGGAGGCAGGGGAGGAGCAGGAGGAAGAGGAGGGGGAGGAACGAGGACTTGGGGTGAGCTTCGCCCTGCTCACGCCGCCACGGGCGGCACAGCCTCGAGGCTCTGGCCAGCAGGGGACCCCCTGGGCAGGCCTCGGGGGGAGAGATTTGCCGAGGGAGGCGTTTTCGCGGGAGGGCGCAGCAATGCTCGAGGGAGGAGTTTTCGAGGGAGGAGTTTTCGAGGGAGGAGTTTTCGAGGGAGGAGTTTTCGAGGTTTCCAGCTGGCCGATGCCCAGCCAGCACCGCCGGAACCGGACGGCTCTGTGGCCTCCGAGTCGAGCGCTGTGGCCACCGAAGCAAAACGGCCGAACTGGCCGAGCCGGACCCCCGCCGCCGAAACCGAACCAGCACAACCGGCGTGGCCCACGGCCGAAACGGCACGAACCGACCCAAAGTGGACCGGTCCTGTGGCAAGGGGGGGGGGATGGTGAACCAGCTGCGTGCAACGGGTTCTCCCCCACGCCTGCTCTGTGGGGTGATCGCCGAGGAAGGAGCTTCGAAGGAGGGAACATCAAAGGAGGGTAGCGAATCGGCTGCACGCAGCGGGTTTTCCCGCGGCGCCCACTGGACTGGCGCTGCAGGCGGTCACGTGTCGAGCAAAGTGCCCGGCTGCGGGGCTAAAAGCACCTGCAGGCAGCAAGTGCCGCCCCTCCCCGTGCCCACCCGCCCCTCTCGCCCGCCCCGGGAAGGGGAAGAGGCGAAGTGGGAGGGAGGCGCGAAAGCCAAGAGCCTCAGGGATGAACGGACCGGGAGAGAGGAGAGACGATGACGTGCTCGGGCATGGGCCCCGCGCCACCCATCCACTAGCATTCGGCAGCGGTCGGCGGACTTTGGCAGTCTCTGTCGGTTTCTGGCAGTCGGTCTCTGGCAATCAGTCTCTGTCAGGAGGAACAGGGGGAGGGGAGGAGGAGGAGGAGGAGGAGGAGGAGGAGGAGGAGGAGCAAGAGGAGGAGGGGAGGATGGGGAGGAGGGGCAGAAGGAGCAGGAGTAGGAAGAGGAGGAGGAATCTGGCACGACGACGGCGGCAACGAAGGCGAGGGGCGACCTGCGCTCCGGGTAGT